AGTAAAGTTAATGATATAAAAGGGCGAAAACTCTTCGCAAACAAAATTTAAAAGTTGGATTAACCTACGAACAACTCGATGAATGTTATGATCCTTGAGTGGTTCGTAGGTTAATGCAACTTTAAAATTTTGTTTGCGAAGAGTTTTCGCTATTTTATATCATTAACTTTTTTGTCTGAATGATTCATTGTAATATAAATTGAACTGCACCTCATATTTGATATATATGAAGAAATATAGTCTTAAAATGTGTTATATTTATGGGATAAAGTGCTCAATATCAGAGATAGAGCATGTGTAAATATAAAAGTGAACATAGAAGTCAACACTTAGAGGCGACAGTCTGTTTCATGCTAGACGCAATCGTCAGGCCACCAGTGTTGTTATTTTTCTCGGCTATTAATATATACCGGTCATTGGTTCATTATGGGTAGTCTATTTTGTCGGTTATTTTTCCGGAAGTCGTTTATTTGTTTGTTTATTTATTTGGGTTAAATTATTTTGCTTGTTTTATTCATTTTTATTTTTTATTTTTATTTTAATCGGTGTTTTTATTAACGTAGTAAAAAATTGTTTATATCGCTTATTTAATAGTTTTGTTTTGTTTGTGAAGATAAAGCTATTCATTCAATTTTGGGGTTGATTGTTGTAGCTAACTATTATTTTGGCGGGAACAGTTTTTAATTTGTTTATTACTTCATATATTTATTTGGATTGATTATCTTTATTCGTTTTTTCTAACGGTTAGTTTATCGGGATCGGTTTGTTAGTTTAACAGAAAGTTTCATAAAAAGAATGAGATGGGAAGCCCACTTTTTAAACCAGGACCTTTACAATAACAATAAACTAAAGGAAAAAAACAAAAAAATGCCCCCAGCAACAAAAAGAATTAGACGACTTCGAGAAAGACTTAATTGACCTAGTTAGAATCATAAAATTCCATAAAAAACAAGATGCATATCAAAAAGAACTAAAAGAAGATATAACTAAAATAAACAATTCAGAAAATGGATTTATCGCAGCTGACAAAACAAGAAATTTATACAATCTAAGCCCTCCTACGCACAATAAATTACTCAAGAACAACATAACCAAAACATACAAAAAGGCACCAAAAACAATAGAACACGATATCAATAAGGAAGCTAAATCTTGCCCAAAAATTAGACGTAGATGACCGAATAAGTTGCATCGACAAGGCACAAGCATTTATCACACTAAAAGATCACAAAGAAAATTTCAAAACCAACCCTGTATACAGACTCATAAACCCAGACAAAAGTGAACTAGGGAAAATAAGTAAAACGATACTAGAAAGAATTAATTCTGAACTTAGGAAGAAGTTAGGATTAAACCAGTGGAAAAACACAAAAGCAACTATTGACTAGTTCCACAGCATAAATAACAAACAAAATTGCCAATTCCTACAATTAGACATAAAATAATTTTACCCATCTATAACAGACCGCATGTTAGATAAGGCCATCAACTTAGCTCAGGAACAAAAATAATAAAACCAAACGAAATTGACATCATTAAGCACTCCCGTAAATCATTACTATTTTACAATGAAGAAGCATGGATAAAAAAAGTTGGGATATTTGACACTACAATGAGAAGCTTTGGCGGTGCTGGGACATGCGAAATCATAGGTATTTATTTACTACACGAACTAAGCAAAATAATAGATAGAAATGACACAGGACTCTACAGGGACGACGGCCTCATAATCTTAAGAAACTGTAACAAACAAAACACAGACAAAACTAGAAAAGCAATAATAAACATTTTCAAAAATAACGGATTCGACATTCGATATAAAAACTAACCTAAACGAAAGTAGATTTTCTAGATGTTACCTTCAACCTAAGAAAAGGCACATATAAACCATGCAGAAAACCCAATGATAAACCACTCTATATACACACATCTTCCAACCACCCCCTTCTACAATCAAACAGATACCAAAATCGATGAGCCGCAGGCTTTCCGACAATTCTTACAATAAAACCATATTTAACAAAGCTAAGAAAGACTGCGAAACAGCCCTAAAAGAAAGTGGATTGCCAGCAACACTCACATACTCACCACAGAACACAAAAAAGGCCAACAGGAAAAGAACTATCATATGGTTCAACCCACCGTACAGAGAAAAACGTAAAAACAAACGTAGGAAAAATATTCTTCAAACTCTTACACAAACACTTCCCGGAATCAAGCACCCTACACAAAATATTCAACAAAAACACAGTAAAAATCAGCTACAGTTGCACCGAGAACATGGCACAAATAATAATAAAAACACAACAGGAAAATTATCAGCAAACCACACGAACAAATTAAACCCACGTTCAACTGCAGAATAAAGAACGAATGCCCCTTAAACGGCAATTGTTTACAAAACAACGTAATATACCAAGCCACGATAAAATCGCCAGATAATGAAGAAAAAGTATACATAGGAGTAACTGAAGGACCCTGGAAACAAAGAAATTATGCACACAAAACATATTTCACAAATAGTAAATATGCGAACAGCACAATGCTTTCTAAGTATATCTGGGAAATTAAAAACAAAACGCACATCACACCAAAAATATCTTGAAAAATAAGGAAAAGATCATCAGCCTACAACAATCAATCAAAAACTTGAAAACTTTGCTTGAAGGAAAAATAGCTATCATTACCTTCTCAGACCAAAATATATTATTAAATAAAAGATCCGAGCTCATCTCAAAATGCAGACATGAAAACAAATTTTAACTACGTTGCTGAAAAATCGAAAACGGAAAAAATAAAACAAATAAATAAAATGACAATAAAATAAGCAAAATAAATTAACCCAAACAAATTACCAAATCACACCTGTTAGAATAGACGAAATATCAATGAAACGAAATAAAGTAAATAATAAACAAATTAGCAAATCATTATGACCAAAATATTAGTTAGACTATAAAAATCAAACCAAAAATCGGACGAAAAAATAGCTGTAACTGTTATATAACGATAGAAGAAAAAATACTACGTTACTCAAAAATTGAAAACCGAAAAGAGAAAATATACAGTATAACAAATGAATAACAAGTAAAATAATTTGACCTAAATTCATCAAAATAAATAAATAAACGAACTAACCGATCCCGATAAACTAACCGTTAGAAAAAACAAATAAAGATAATCAATCTAAATAAATACATGCAGTAATAAACAAATTGAAAACTGTTCCCGCCAAAATAATAGTTGAAATAAACTACAACAATCAACCCCAAAATTGAATAAATAGCTTTAATTATCTTCCCAAACCAAAACAAAACTATTAAATAAGCGATATAAACAAATTTTTACTGCGTTAATAAAACAACGATTAAAATAAAAATAAAAAATAGATAAATATAGAAATAAAGAAAAAATAAAAATAAAAAATAAAAATAAATAAAACAAGCAAAATAATTTAACCCAAATAAATAAATAAACAAATAAACGACTTCTGGTAAAATAACCGCCAAAATAGACTACCCACAATACCCCACTGACCCGTATATATAAATAGCCGAGAAAAAACAGCACTCGTGGCCTGACGATTGAATCTAGCATGAAACAGAATGTCGCCTCTAAGCTTTGTCTTCTATGTTCACTTTATATATATATATATATATATATATATATATATATACACACACACAAATTTAGTTAATGATCAACGATGTTGGATTTAATTTGTTAGGTCATCTCTCAGTGTCATTTTTAAACCTATGAAATATGTTTAGTATATTTTGTTCATGATTTTAATAAAGTTGTATTGATGTCTGGGTATTTATTTTTATGTGTAATGCTTCTAGTATTTGTAATCGCTTTTTATAGATTGTGTGATATAGTATTTTTGTTTTATTAAGTTATTAAGTAAGATTTCTTGTGTTTTTAACAACATTGTTGGTTGGTAATATGCGATTTAAATCAACTATTATCGGATAGAAACGTTGCGATAGATAAATTGTCGTCTAAACCACGCGAAAATTAAAATAACCCCGACATCTCATTTTAATTAAATTTAGTATATTTACTAAAATTACAGAAACAAAATGCTGAAGAATAAATTTATTCAATAAAATCGCCATTTGCTTCAACCACGGCCCCCAGACGACTTCGGAATCTTCTGCATCTCTTCTGGTCGATCCCTTTGTTTAAGTTGGTGAAGGCTGCCATAATTGCCTTCAGTTCATCTTTGGTGTTACAAGGAGTTTTGTTGACCTCTTGCTCAACTGCGCCTTCCACATAATAATAAAAAGAAGTCTGGGGAGTTACGTGACAAGATGTAAGGGGTGATGTGGTCGAAGAAATTGTTTGACAGTAATGACTGGGTTCTCTTGATTGTATTGCATGGTGCAGATTCCTTTTGCCAAACACAGGTTTTCCAACAGCTTCCTCTTGAACCAGGGCAGCACTACCTTCTCAAGGCACTTGATGTAGGCCTCCGGGTTCAATCTGACGCCCTGTGGGAAGATGAAAAGAGGCATAACTTCGCCATCACTAGTGATCACTCTAAACACCATGATATTGACTGGATATATCACCAACCCTTTGTGTATCCTCTACACTGTCCTCAAATTGACACCCACTCTGAAATGTTTGTATTGAAGCTTCCGGGACGAATTCCAAGCAATACAGCATACTCTTTCTAAATTTCTGGTGGAGTGAATTACTTCGTGGTTCTCTTTTTCTCAAAGATGGTGCCCAACTGACCCTACTATATTGTACAGTCGACAAAATCAAAAACAAACAACGTGCATACGTGAAATTAAAACTATAAAATGGCGACAGATGTGCAGTTAATCTTGAAAAATCTCAGCCATTTTATATATATATATGTGTGTGTGTGTGTGTTTGTGTGTGTGTGTGTGTGTCCATTATATACGTTGTGTTTGTATTTATTCAATATATTCAAGATTTAATGAGGATATGTCTGTCTATCAAATGAGAAAAAGATTTGAAATACTTACGGCCGCACCCATCGCCCATGCCCCGATCACTTTTCGGCACACCTCAAGTCCCTTTGGTTTTCCTTCTGCCAACCCTGGCCCATTGTAATAGGGAATCTTTTCATTGGGACCCACTTCACAATGAAAGACTTCAATATGATGCACCAGATCTTCATTTCCTTTCATTATGTCACCTTCAAACTAACAAAGAAAAAGCAAAACAAAACGACTTATAAAATGCAGCTGTCCACTTCCTTATTCCGTTACTCCTTCATATCACTTAATATTTTCACAACAAAGTTATTCATAGCAAAGCCACCACGCAGCACCAAATTGTCCAAAGTCATTCAGCCGTAATTAGTGTCCAAGATTAAAATTGGATAATTTGGGTAAAACAATTTGCTGATGAATAATCTTGGGAAGGAGTACAAAATTTTATTAGAGTTTTAAAAACAGATATTTTAAAAGAATATACAAATATATATATAAAACAAAGGAGGGGGAATTTCTTTTTTTGTTTTCTACAGCTTATCAACTCTTTGCATGTTATTTAAAGCCAGAAAATATTTTTATAATGTAAGAAGCTTTTTTTATTTAGATAATGATTTAGTGATACAAGTCTTACTAATTAACCCATACCTGGGGAGAGAACAGGTCAATTCATGCCTTCCTAAGGATATATAGCATGATTACATACTCATATTTGTGTGGATATAGTTATTATAATTAATAATATTATTACGGTGATATGTGTGTTTTTGTAGTTTTGTTGAAGTTATATTTTGGAATATAATTTGATTTCTTTAAGAAATTATAGAACATTATATGGATTAATGCCATGAAAGAGTTCTTTTATGTTGCGTGTTTGGTTGATTTTAAGAAATTTTTTTTAGAAACAATAATGATTTAGTGATACATGTCTATTAATTAACCCATAGCTGGAGGGAATAGGTAGATCCATAAGCGTACGTGTATAACGAACCCAACTGGAATTGGAACTCCGCTCTCCGAATAACAACTCCACGCCATTATCTATTACACCATCCGCACATCCAAACTCACAGCACCTGGTATTCCCAAGCGATCATCCATCTAGGTACTGACCAGACTCGATGTTGCTTAACTTCGGTGATCATACGGGAAGCGCGAGGAGATAATTTAAAAAGTATATGTATACTGGATTTTTATTTTTACAGTTAATAATGGATTATTTCCAGTGCCTTGTAGCTTTTAATAAATTTCCCTTTTTTTGTTATCTCTCATAAAAACAATAAAAAAAAAAGTAAAACTTACTGAAAGAAGAATATTAAAAAAATGCTAGCGGTCGTCAAATACAATTCGTAAGAATTATCTTTGGAATTTCTGTCAGCAGTTACCTCCCTTACACTTCTAATATATATTACAGTTTTTAACCTAAATAAAGCCTCTTCGTCTTTAATTATTTCGTTATAATAATCAGACCTACCTGTATTATATGATGCTTTTCCGACATGGCAGGAAGCTTTGTCGTATACCACCAATATGTCGTTTCCTCTGCCGGAATAGTGACCTAACGTGAAGAAAAAATGTATACAAATTTAAAAAAAAAACATATATTTGAAAAACAGGAATGAAAATTTATATAATGTCTTCATTCTTATCAATAAAATATAATAACTGATTATTTTAGAAATGTTTCAAAAATTAAAATGAAAATAATTTTGAAAGATCTTTTTAATATAATAATAATTCACAAAGTTCTCCTAGTTACATATTCTGATAAAGTTGGATGGCCAACAACTTAGAAGGAAATAGCCCTCAAATATTCGCGCCAAAAGTTAACGACAAAAGCCGTTTGCATTCACAATTTCCATCTAGGTTAAATATGTGCAAAGTGAAGTCGAAAGTTACGTAATTTTTATTAAAACCTATTTATATTTTGTTAAATTCAGCCTGATTTGTTGATAAACTTTCATGTGCCTAAAAAATAACCTTCAAGGAAATTTGCGCTGAAGATCCTGGACCAATCGCTTTCCCACAAGTTTTGAGTTCTGAAGCATTTCAACAGCAATACGATGAAAGTAACGTGAGGACATCGTCAGAGGACTTTTTGGGGAGACAAACAATCAGACATCTTTTTTTTTTTCTTTTTTTTTTTGTTAAAGGACGGGTCGTCACCACTTCGACTAATGTTTAGCTTTTAAAGCCGCCTGTAAATAAAATGGTACTAAGAGAGTCACAATTGTTAACCTATCTCCACTTTTCAACCTCTTCGAAAACATTTCCTTCAGTATATTCCGAAGAAGCACAGTTTTAACAAAAGTAATAGAATTTATTACACAGAGATATCTTTGGAAAACAAAGACATGAACGCTTCAACAAACTGTGGTTACTGACTAACAAAGTCAGAGGGAACGATTTGTGCAACCTTTACATCCAATTTAGAAATATATTTTCAACCAATGTAACAAACGATGAGTCTTTTTCGAACTTTCTGAGTACAGTGTAAGCCGGATATAAGAGACCCGGATATAAGAGAAACCCGGATATAAGAGAGATTTTCTCTGGTCTTAATTTAGAGCCTGTGTTAATGTATATAAAATAGACCAAACCCGGATATAAGAGAAACCCGGATATAAGAGAAACCCGGATATAAGAGAAACCCGGATATAAGAGAAACCCGGATATAAGAGAAACCCGGATATAAGAGACTTCTTCTCCGGTCCCGACAACTCTCTTACATCCGGGTTACACTGTATATTTCTTTTAACTTCGTGATTTTTTTTTATCTTTAATGCTTAATTTATGTAAATAGTAAATCTTTTTTTTTTTAATTTATCCATTGAATGTTTTTCATGTCAGTATTTTTCTCTTTTTATATTTCCCGTATATTTTGCAAGAAGGCTTTATATTTTGCAGTTTCATTTTTACAATTTTCAACAAACATCTCTGAGTAAAATAATCTTCGCATCAATATTTATTCGGCATCAACAGCTTTTGAATCTCATTGAAGCGATGTTAACTGATTCATTTACACTATTTACATTATTCGGACTGTTTTCCTCATCTTTATATTAACAACGTTTCGGTCGTTGTACGCCCCGGCCTTCTTCAGGTGATATTTGTTGGAATTTCAAATAAAGGGTTCGGTTCGAAATTCCAGAGTATATCTCCTGAAGAAGACGGGAGCGTACAACGGTCGAAACCTCGTGAATATAGCCATAAAGATGAGGACAACATTCCGAATAATGTAAATAATGCAAATAGTTACAATATTTCACCTCAGAAATATAGACATATGTTAACCTATTCGATATTTGTCTATATCTCTGAGATGAGGTATTATGATTACTAAATTATTCGGACTGTTATTCTCATCTTCATTGCCATATTCACAACGTTTCGGCTATTGTACGCTCCGGACTTCTTCAAGTGATTGGAATTTCGAACCGAACCCTTTATTTCATCCACCGGGGTAGATTGTTCTAGTTACACGTGCCATACCTCTTCCGGATGTATCAATTATTTCCCTTTAACTGAACTCCCCAAAGACACATGGCCTAGTGAATAAAGACGATGGTAAGATCCAGTAACTAGACCCAAAGATTTATGTGTTCAGTACCAGGCCACAGCAGTGATGAACCAAAAAACTTGGAGAGTTGAGTTAAGTGAGACATCTGGAAGAGACATGGCACGTGGAACTAGAACAATCTACCCCGGTGGACGAAATAAAGGGTTCGGTTCGAAATTCCAATCAACTGATGAAGTCGGGAGCGTACAACAACCGAAAAGTTGTGAATATGGCAATGAAGATGAGGATAAAAGTTTGAATAATGTAAATAATGCAAGTAATCATAATACCTCATCTCAGAGCTATAGACAAAACCCTGATATATTGCATATTCCTGGATGTAAATTTACCATAAAATAATTTAGCATCCAATCAATATATTTTCGCTTTAAATTACATTTTTTTAGATCAAAACCGCAAACACAAAGGTAAAATTAAGCAATCTAACCCAGTGGTCGAAATAAAGGGGTCGATTTGAAAATTCATTCACCCGAAGAAGGCCGGAGCGTACAACGGCGAATGGTTGCGAATATGGTAATGAAGATGAGGATAATAGTCCGAATAATGTAAAAGATGTAAGTTAACTTATTCATGTTTAACGCAGCGTTTCTTTTCATGTCCTATTCAAAAAAACGTATGCAAAAATACATTTTATCGTAGCAACATTTCATTTAAACAGTTTTTCTTTGACGCCAACAGACAAGGTTGCTTTTAACATTCAAATATTAATTTTCTTGTTTTCATTCAAGATGGCGAATGTTTGATTCTAGTGTATGTAGAAACTACCCTTTCGCTTTAAACTCTGAGTGATCATTTTCAAGAACAGGAATTATACGTTATGGTTCTGCAATTCAAAGGAAAACATTTATTTCATCGTAGCGTTTGGTATTTGCAGTACTATGGATTAAAATTATGTTTTCACTTTGAAAATGGCGATGCTTGCAAGCCGCTTACCACCACCCCAACCTATCCCTGTTGTGGCGTTGACTCGATCGGTTGAGGCGGCTCCATCAAATGAAGCTGCCGCATCCGAGCGAGATTCATTCGGGCGTGTATAGTAGAAGTTTCAATTTCGATCGCAATCTTCTATCTTCTTGGATCCGTTCATCTTTTGTCCTCTCTTCAATCCTCCCTATATTCAGTCTTTTCTCTCATTTTCACTCCCTGTATACGAGTGGCATTTCCGCCTTGCTTAGGAGTGAAATGACATTTTTTTTTTAAATTGGCTTCACAAGCGGTCCCCCAGCCGTATGTATAGACACTTTTAGGATAGTACGATACGGTTTAAATTCAGAGTTTCCTTCTCCTAGACTGGTTGCCACACAAAGTCCAGTCTGTCCTGCCCTTTTACCCAAAGCTGTGGAGAGAAGCGATGGAATCATACCTTTCCCAAGGGTATTAGGAAGTAAGTGAAAGTAATGGACTCGGTTGGAAATCGAACTCAGCTCTGTGATTTCCCAATCCGAGCCACTAACCATTACTTCGCTGCTACATCATTCAGTAAATCCTGTTACGTGGTATTACGTAGATGGTGACTATATCTTTATTACTTGACCGGAGAAAGTAGACTACCCCAAAATTGTTTAAAACAAATCTTGACTGATGCCTTCAAGAAAACATGCTTAAAACAAATAAATTATATCTAAAATATCCTTGGTATAAAATATCGTGCGTTACTCAGAAAGAAGTTCGCTCCGAGAAATTCCATGAAAGATTCGGTAGGGTACCTCGACGAACTTCTGGATCCTAAGATAATTTGAATGAGTTTGGATAGGATCAGCATCTTTGTATAGTTCAACCTCTGTTACAAGAGCTGTTACATTCGTTTTTATGAACATTTCTCAATACAAGGCTCAAGAGCCACTCATAATAGAGCATTACTGTATAATATAAATGTAAGATGTAGAAGGAAATGAAGATTTGAGGACAAGGAGGATAGCGATTGACACTTGACATGGAGAGGTCACGATTATAGTATTTAGAGAAGCATCCACACGGGGCTTTTTCTAGACGGAAAAATAACTTACTATGTGGGTGATTCAACTCCGTGGGCGAGTCCTAGCTGTAAAAGTCTTAATTAGAGTAAAGAGAGGACTTCATCTGGATATTTGTCATGAAAATAGTGATGGATTAGCGATAGGCCTGCAACTTTGCGTCTGTGGAGAAAGTGGCTGTAGAGTGGAAAATAAATCATCTCCTACAAGATCACATAAACGATAATGGTTCTTCACAATTTCCTGTCCTTTGCAGGTCTGAATAAAGTTTGTCTTTTCGCTATATTTCTTAATCTTTGTTCTGCCAACCATTTACATAAGCTTCTTTGGTAGGTTATACATTAATTTGCTCTTGTCTTCTTGCCTTCAATATGCTCTGTGTATGACATTTTCTAAGCCTCCTTACCTCATTACGTACCTTAGAAATTTCACCTGTCTCTTTCTGATGCTAAGCATGAGGAACCTTTTTTTATTCGGTTTTCTCTAAAACTTCGTAGTTGCTCACGTTTTCAGTCCATGGTATTCTCAGCATCCTTCTGTAGAACCACATTTCCTTTGTCCTCAAGTTTCTTCCTCATTTGTCACGAGGTGGTCTAGCATTCAGCGCCATTTAAGAGTATCGATATTGCATAATAGTCTGTGTGGTACTTCTTCCTTGCAAATGGAATACATGAAAAAAGTGGGTGATTCGACTTCTTGGACGCAACAGGACGAGTCTTATCTGTAAGGGTCTGGATTGGTTGAACTAAAGAATGAGCATTTGCCATGGAAATAACAATAGAGTAGCGATAGCTTGCAACTTTGTATCTGTTGAAAAAGAGGAGGGTGATGGAAGAATATCTTCCTCCACATGATGGCGTAAACGATTTTGAAATCTATCATGGTTGAAAAGTGAGGATTGGGCAGCTCCAGGGTAGATATGGGAAGAGTATTCCATTTTGGGTCTAATCTGAATCTTGCAAGTATGAAATGTGGCAGGAGGACTCTATCAAGGCTGGGAAATGAGGATTAAGCAGTTCCAGTTCAGATATGGCGTCGATACTCCATTTTTGGTCTAATCTGAATTTTGTAAGGATGAGTTGTGGCAGGAAGACTCTATCAAGGCTGGAAAGTGAGGATTGAGCAGTTCCAGTTCAGATATGGCGTCGATACTCCATTTTTGGCCTCATTTAATTTCTATATGCATTTCATACGTTAAATGTTACAACTATGGGGTAAAGACAATATTTAAAGTTTCAGCGGTTTATCAATCATAAAGGTTTGAGGTTCTGACCATGGGTAAAGCTCCAGCGGCCAGGGTGAGTCTAGAACTGCAGGTGGGTGGGTCATTTGCGGGGAATAGTCAGAAAAAAAAGTATCTATGCAAGAGGACGTTTCTCATGTTCACATTGAAAATACTCTGCATTTCTGAAATCAAAAAATAAACTGTCACACTTGGCCATGACGTATTGGAAGTAGGGAGACAATTCAGAGTTATCCTTTAATTAGTCTAGTTCCTCTACTAAGTCTATTATAGAATCTATGTAACCCAGAGTCAAGAGAAGAATACATGGATTCATATCTTTTTCTAAGTGCAACAGAACGGAATTCGAACTCGCCTTGCCGATTCCATTTCAAAATTAATAAACATTACGCTACCCTCACTTACCTTATTAATTTCACACACATTAACTGCTTGATTTTACTTATATGTGTGTGTGTGTGTGTGTGTGTGTGTGTGAGAGAGAGAGAGAGAGAGAGAGAGAGAGAGAGAAAGAGAGATAGAGATCGAACGACGCTATATCGAGTCTAATTCATTACCACATCGTCGCCGAGACCCGTTGGTACAGTTGGTATGGCGCTTGCTTGATATCGTAATTCTCGGCAGTGGATCCCCAAATATAGAACGAAACGGCCGTCCAGTGCTTTCTGTTAAGGTTTCTTCTAGACTCGATGAATTACTTAATTATGATTATTTCAAATCCTCTTAATAATTTATATATGTACACACAGAACTTTTGTCTTGTTCATTTATTGTTCTCTCTCCTTCATAATGTTTTTCTTTTTCTCATATGCTTTCACACGCAGTAACTCCTTGCGTCTTAGTGGTTTTATTGCCTTGGCTTCAAATGAAATGATTAACAAAAAGTATTTGAACGCTTTTTTTTTTGTTAGTTTTTGCGTGAGTTCTTTTTCCTACAATCTTTGGGTGGGGAGGGGATCATAGGGTTTTAGATTTATCTTGAAAGCTGTATTTCCATCAAGAATGATACACTGACCTTTGGTGCGACAATCGTAAATGTCCATGTGTCTTTCGGGTGTACAGAGATGGGAAGATCTGGTTTTAACATAAAGATTCGTTGCGACTCAGGTGACAAGAGAGTTACATTCTTGTCTTCTGGAAAGTGAAATTGACCTTTGCCAATAAAGAATGCTATATGAATGGTTCCATTCTGCAAAAAAAGAAAAGAAAACAAAGAATTTTAAATTATAAATTCATGACACATCAACTTAACAATCATACAATATCACTCTCTTTGTTTATAAATGAAAAGTTTTCACTTTCAAACATGCAAGATTTCATTCAATGTATTTCCAATGGTTTCTACGATTTTTTGTTATTTTTTATCATAATGTTATTAATCGATTCTATTTTGGAACGCTTAAGTAAACAATACAAACAAAAAAATGGGTTGGTAGAAAAATATATCGCTTAATTCAATTTCTTAAGAACAATACGGGTAAGGGAACGGATTAGCTTCTACGAGAATCTGAACTCGGTTATCCGATTCCATATCAGCGCGATTGTGAACCGTTGGTCAGCCATACAGACTTTATTAATTATGACGATGATGATGATGATGATGATGATGATGATGATGATGAAGAACAACAAAAACAACAACAATTCTACAGCTGTAGTTGAAGCCCTCGGATGAATCGGAAAAGATTTCAATAGACTCATTGAAGGGATTCTTGGAATCCCATGCCTTAAAAAATACAAAAAATTGTACTCCACACTTTAAGATAAATCTTGTTAGAAAAATATGAGCTCTGCCGGAAAAAAAGGATTATTTTTCGAATAAGATTTCTTGAATATTCAGGCGGGTAATAAAAATAAATAAGCATAATGTTTAATAATAAAACAAAGCATCTACTCAGATATGAGTAGCCATTAAAAATAATCTTCAAACAAATAAATTAAAAATACGTCGGATTTAATACATTTCAAAAATATTATATATATATATATATATATATGTGTGTGTGTGTGTGTGTGTGTGTGTACATATATATATATATATATATATATATAAATTTAATGAAAAAACAGAGAGAGAGAGAAATTAGAAAACAGACAACCTTAAGGGTTAATTGATTGTATTTTATTCCGGCAGGAAGGTGATTTTTTCCTGGTTCCTCAGATCCCATTTCCAAGCATAAAAATGGTTTTAAATTTGCATATTATTTTTATACACATTTGAAAGGTAGCTTTAAGTTGATGTAAGGTGATAGAGAGAGGAGTAGGAGGAGGACGACGACAGATATGGTCGAAATTAGAGAAGAAATGGAGAGATAGGAATAATTTTGAATCTATTTTATTAAAATACTTAAGAGTAAGGGAGGAGGGTTAAGAATCAGACATTGACCGATTTAATAAGTCATCACACAAGAAACGAGACAAAGAGAAAAAGAGAGAAGAAAAATATAAGAAAGTATATATACATATATCTATATCTATCTATCTATCTATCTATCTATCTATATATATATATATATATATATATATATATATATATATATATATATATATTTGTATTTAGGCAGCAATCCTTCTTTCATGCACATTTATAAACAGGATGAATGCAGAATTAAGAACATTATAAAAAAATGTATACCAATAGCAAAAAATTAGATTAATTATTTATTATAAAAAATTTGAAACCTCTAACCTTATAGTTAAAGATAATAATTCACCTCCTAGAACAAAATTAAATAGGGCAAATATTATTTACGAATTTAAATGGCCATTAAGGAATTGTATTACTGATCGATCAAAATTCGTAAATAATTATATAGGCCACACTACAACATGTTTGACAAGCAGACTAACTCTACACCTTTCTGACGATAGCTCAATTAGATCTCATTTAAATATTCATGGACACTATTCGAAACATACTTGTCTACAAAACTAATATAATAGCATCATCTACATGCAAAAATAGGCTAAAAATAATGGAAGCCTTATTAATAAAAACAAACAAACCAACACTTCATAATATTAACTTTGAACATGGACATAATATCTTGACCGTGTTTTGAAACAAAAAAAATGAAAACATTTTATAAAACATACATACAACAAACTATTTCTAATTTTCACAGTTAAAATATAATCCTTGAAAATGGCTAAATGTATAGCCGAAAGCGCTCGGATAAAAAGAATATTCGGAGAGTTTTTATATAATTTATCATCCGAAAAAAATATTAGATCGCATGAGAAATTGTATAAAAAAACTAAATAAAAGCACCTTTTGTCTGTCGTTTTCAATGAAATGTGCATATATATATATATATATATATATATATATATATATATATATATATATATATATATATCCTGCACTCTCCCGTCGTTTTCAATGTATGAGAGTCAAGTTTCAAAACCCGAACAGCCATATTCACCTGCATGTATGATTCGATTATAGTGGTGTAGGCTTGTGCAGAACCAATCACATTTTGGGTAAGAAACGAATACGGAAAACAGACGTACATAGTATGCCACAAGGCCTACAAACGACTTTCCTCAGGTTTTGAATTCAGAGTTGTTCTACCTCTTCCTCGCTTGCCACCCAAGGCTATAGGACCCAGTCTGTCCTGATATTTACCCATAGCTAGAGGGAGAAGAATTCTGTTTTTCATATATGAAATTAATACCTCAATAATAATGAAATAATTTACTATTCGAAACAAATAATAAAAGCAGTGACAGATTTTAATCTTTAAATCGACAAGTCTCTTACTAAAATGCAATACAAATTCAATGTTAAATTTAGCTTTTATTGTTTTAAATGGTTTTAATTCGACAATTATTATTTCATAAAAGAAATAAATATAAGTGAATCATTGAAATCATTACAAGCGTTAAAATATAAAAAGGCTCAAATTTAATTTTACCCGAATATTTCGTCACCAGTATGTCGGCGTATTGTTATGTTATGCTGCTTGTTTCCGTCTAGGTTGAAGGTTTGAATAAATTGAAGATTCATTTAATCTTATATATGACCAAGCCAACAACCAAAGCTATAAAGGATAACTGAATGGCATAATGTGAAAAAATTGTCACCATTATTCCTTTGTTAATGCTGTTCACGGAAAATGATTGACAGTCGAATGTTTTATGTTTGTATTGATTTATTCAGAGTCACAACAAATAAATGTAGAATATCTTTCATATCATAGAAGTATAGGTCAATATGGTAGCCAAGGCACAGTTTTATGTTTTTTTTTTTTTGTTTTTTGTTTTTTTGGCTTCAGATTATTGTTTTATTTGTCTTATACTCACATTGATTCGTTCATGCTTATTTTGTCTTCTCATAAATGGCGTTTCTCTTTCATGTTTTTCTGACGCATAAATTTTATTCTATCAAACTTATCATATCATGCTTGCAAAATCTTGTGTATGCTAGTAGATCCCATTTTTTAAATTACCATGCCAACAAAAACAGTCAGAAAGTCACCGTTTGTTGATTGCATATTGGGTTATCAAATAAACTCGTTCATTTTTTTCCATTTCTTTTAATCCCATTATTCATCATTCATCAACTATATTAACAAATCAGTCAATAATATCAAACGATAAACAAATGTTATAGAGAAAGAACATAGCTACAAGAAACCTTCAACAATACAATAACAATATTTTAAGAATTATTGGTCCTAACCTGGCGACTCGGCTTCATTCACTTTCCCACCGCCCGTAATGTAACTTTTCTATAAACTAGAATTTTTTTTTTTTTTTGCAACATGTTGAAATCATCACACTATTTTCGTCCTGGTTAAGACGATAAACTACGTCCAACAGCAAGGCCTCTGATCTGGAGGTTTGGGGGATCGTGGAACCACCTTTTAATTGCTAGTGTTCCCAGGTTAACCCTGTCCCGAGGTGATAACATCTGATAGGGTCCCAGATATAAGCAAACTTGTGTAAAAATAGATTTTAATACCAGAAATACTTTGTAATAAAAAAATATTACCAGCAATATTTTTTGAGGGAAAAATTATTATCTGCAATACTTAAAAAAAAAAAGTACTGTCAATACAAACAGCTATACATTCTATAGATTTCTTCAAGGAAAAATATTCTCAGAAATAGATTTTTGAAGAAAAACATTACCAGCAATAAAAATTTTGTCGGCATTAAATAACCCATTGATGTTGATATGCCGTAAAACAAACCAAACCAAATCAAACTCAAAAATATGAGTAATTGAAAAATGGTTCAAATATACATATATATACATATACACTTTTTTTTACCAAACTATCGCTATGAATCTATTTCAAAAATTTTGTTGGTATTGAATGACCCACTGAGGTTTTGATATGCCATAAAACAAAAAAAAACAACCAACCAACCAGGTTTCTTAAAGTTATCGCTTCCTCTGCTCATTTGAGTCTCTCCTTCTGTGTTTATATTTACAGTGCTACTAATGTACATTATATTTTACCAGAATTATATATATATATATATATATATATATATATATATATATATATATATATATATAAACTTAAACAAAAGATATGAAAAAAAAACAATATTGCATTTTTATTAAATAAGTATCTGTTACTTTAACCATTAAATTGTTTTTAAAATAGTGGAAGTGTTTTGTACATTAACTAATAAATCTTTTAATTTTTCCAAAAAATGAGTGAAAATGTATTGTACTAAGCTACACAACCTAATAAAACCAGCTGCACTTTGTACTCCTTTACCCGTTTACACTTCACACCAAAATTTGGTTTCGATCGGTCTAAAAATGGCTGGGTGTGACAGATGGACAGACTAACAGAAGTGATAGAATTTTATATTCAGATAGATACTTTCATAGTAATTGTTTCGATGAACTCTTCGCTCTGGTACAATGAATTTATGAATTTAAGCGCAGTACTAGATTGGCGGTAAGGTCTCATCAATTTACAGTTGAATTGACCAGATGCAACCATAAGGCTTTTCTTTCACACTTCTCGCTTATGGAACTCTCCTCTTGCATCTATGATTTACGGCTAAGTTTGATTTTCAAAAATTTAAATGCATCTAGTGTCTTTTTGATTACATTACTATTATTATCGCATCTTCATAATGCTTCTCTTTTTTCTTATTCTTTCACCTTCAGTAATGCCTTCAGTTATAGCGGCTTTACTGCCTTGCATGGGGTGAAATGAT